AGATAAGGGAATTCAGCCACGATTATAGCACAATGTAACGATTATTCGCGGCTCTCGATGTACCTAGACATGGCTATACGCACGTGAAAATGTTCCCAGAATTGTGCCACAAGACATTGAACTGTTACCTGTTGCCTCTTTGTCGTTTCTATTTTCAACGTTCTAGAGTAATTTCTCTGTCTCTCTCTCTCTCCTTTCTTTAGTTTCTTTTTTATTTATTACGGACGGGAACGGTCCGCGAATCGAAATCGTTATGACCCGCGTGGGAAACGTAATAAACGTTCCGTTCGAAATTTCGAGCTTTAACCCGAGTGATGAACGATCGGTTCAGTAAATAGAAAATTCATTAGAATTTAAATGTATAGCGAGAAGTCTTGGTTTCGAGATGTCTTCTTTTCGATCGATTCGCGAGCGGCTCCTGTGACCATAGAAATTAATGTACGACTTGTTGCACGTTCGCTCTAGTTCTACTTACTTTAAATGAATTATTAAGTATTTAACTGTCGATAAGTAAATGACGTTACTCGTCATTAAACTGTTCTTAGATTTGTTGGGATTCATCCCCCTGCCCGCGACCATTCGCCCCAACCCCTTCCGAGATGATTTTTCTCTTTTGTTGCCTCTGTTACTTAATATTAATAATATATTAACTATATTTGTCAGAATAAATTTTAATATATATTATATATACATATTATATTATACATATGTGTATAAACAGATTGATGTAATTTGAAGATGATTCGTCGTAGCCTAGGCGAAATATTTAGTGCTCTGTAGAGAGAAAAAAATGAAAGAAGACAAGTTGTTCAAGTTTCACTTTGGCCCCCGATCGAATCACGGTCGGACTGTAATATAACTGATTATACATACAACCATGGAAAACATTATTATATAAATGCGTATACATACGTACGGATACGTGGTAGAGAGACTATGTACGTTTATTCAAAGATGTTCAACGCCAAGGTGAGAACAAATAGTAGGAAGAGGAAGAAGACGAAGAGACTACTAACGCGTTCGTCTAGTAAAGAAACGTTAGATCGGCGAGCGAGCAAACTCTATTATGTGTACATAATCCATGTACATGCCTGTACATAATTCTAAACAAGTCAGTGTCTGTATGTACAATTCGAATGAATTTTAACGCAAACAGAAATAAAAATATACGTAGGCTAGGTTTTAGGTTGTTTTAGGAGGGATCTATATTATATAAAATAAAAGTATATATACTTAGCTTGATTTTCTACCTTTAATAGAAACTGCGGGGGTGAGAAGCCTCTTGGAGCAACGGTGAGTCGCCCGGTTTAGACAATTTTTATCACGTTTCGTTTTAACCCGACGATGCTTCTATATAAGGTGCCTTGGATAATTGCATTAATTACATCATTCTCAAAGAGTATAAAAAGAGAATTCATAAAACGCAATATAAAGTTCGTCTGTATTAATTATGTGTTTATCTGTCAATATCGAAAATAGTATACGAATCTTATTTTTCTAGCTGATATTTACTTTGCGATGTAAAATTCTATTGAACGAGACTAGGGATTCATTTTAAGCGTAGATATATAGAAGCATCGTTTCTAACAAAAATTCTATTAATAAGAGGAACGAATGCTTTTAATGCGAGCAGAGACCGTGTTCCAGCTGGCCGGCTCACGACGTTGTTCGAGAGCGTATCTGTCTGATCGTAATTGCTCTAACTCTACCTTAAAGATATTGTTATTGTTAACACTCTTCTTCTTATTAACTTTTACCATTAAAAAGGAATACAAAAAAAGATCATGATATACATTCTAACTTTTTAAACTTTTCACGTGTAAAAATAAAAACGAAAGGGGGAAGAGAATGCGTAAAACGAGATACAGGTGACTGAGGACGATTTCGAAGAATCTGCCAAATTTTAGAGAACGCGAGATAGAGAATCGGCGTAAACGGCGGCGGCTTTAAATCTTCCAAACTTGTTTTCAGTTTCACCGTGAGCGTCGTAACCGAAATGTGCGAGAGAAATCATAGATAATGCTTCCTTTTCGACGTAGTATTCGTTGAATCTTAAGCTTACGAGAGCTTATCTGTCTGTATCTTAAGCGTGTGTGTCCTGTGTTTCTTCCGCGTTCCCCTTTCCAATTTCCCTTACACCTCGAAATTCGTCAAGAAAAAAATAAATTGTAATTCAAACGGTAAAGAAAAAATGTTCCGGCCACACAGTATTCGTTCATTTAAACAAGAATTGCGTATCGGATAGAGAAAAGGCGTATGACCAAGGGCACTACCCACGATCTAATTGAACACAGGGACAAAACGCACAGAAATAATCGAGTTTCATTTCGGTATTTGTTTCCCGTCGATCAAGAATACATATTTTTTAACAGAACGATAGTAACAATAAAAGAGAAAGTAATACGAACAGTATCTTACCGTACGACGCGTGTAATTTATTATTTCCATCGCGAACATTTTTAATCGTACACAGCCCGTGGGAATACCTCTTTTGTTAACTTTTTAGATTTTGTGAGAGTCTGAGTGAACGGCCTCCAGCCAAGGGAAACGAACACGAGCGGGTAGACGAGCGTAATCGTAGAAATGTATAATTAAACTATATACTGACTAAGATCCTAGGTGGTTCGAATCTTACGAGATAAGTTCAGTTTAAGGTGTGCGGAAACTGTTGTAATTTCGAACCGTGGCGTTCGGGGCATACGTCGGATATGCGAAAACAAAATTAGCAGACATATCATTTAAGACAATACACTTGTTACCAGAAACTAAGTTTCTAACTAATGTAATTCTTATTATACGTATTGTAATCTAACTCTTAATCGGACTTAGAAAGATTCGAGGGCGAAACGTGACATAGTTAGCGATTAAAGGATGGACGGAGGTGGGCGTCGGTTCGTGTAATTGTCAGAATCAATCTGCCAGAGGATATTGTTATTACCGCAATAAAAAATTCGAAATCTGTAGTGTAGTTACGTTATGAAAGAACAAACAAAATTGTCGACGTACTTAAAATTAGTTTAATCAACGATCTAATCGCGTACTTAGAGAATCAGATTTTGTTCTTTCATTTACGACGTGGATTAATTGACTTTTCATACTCTGGATTCGGAACGAACGCGGGAGATCATCCTGGAGGCTGATTACTCAGAACTTAGAGAAACGAACGGTTACAGAAAAAAAAAAGTGAAAGAGAAAAACGAAGCAATGAAACAGTAACGAAGATATGCATGCATTGTACAAACGAGTCCCTCCACGTCACAAAAAAAAGAAGAATGATATATATACATATATATATATCTATATGGAGAGTATATATATAACAAAAAAAAATTGATAAATATGTGATGTATTTAAATGGTATGTGGTATATGGTATTACATATTTGTACATAGGCGTGACCCGTGCCATCAACTAGTGAGTTGTACCGATATCGTACTGCCATTAGTCGAATTAGCGAACTAGCGTCGAGCGAGCGGAGATTAAAAACAGTGAAAATTAACGGAGAAACGGATTACGAAATTTTTGTTGATGGCGAAACCGCGCGTACAGGAAACGCGGCAGTATTCGAAGATTAGTTTTAATTCTGTAGAACGAAATTGATTTTTGGCGAGCGTTTGAGCGTAATAAAAATGTGCCGTGACACGTAATTTAGTTTTAATCGAAACGAGATTGTTACGTGTTTTTACGTATAAGTTTGTTAAAAAAAAAAAAAAAGATGTCCTGAATTTTCTTTCGAATATACATTAAGTTTCAAGCTTCGACGAAAGTTAAGAAGTACAAAATTATTTTATCGACGTGTTGATACATTAAGTTTTCTAGTTAATTTAAAACGTTAAACGAAATACAGCAATAAGTGAAAAGCATCCCGGATTCTGTCGTTGCCATTGGGAAGTTTGCTTAATTTTAACCGCTATCGTTTGTACACCGGGAAGAGTAAAATAAAAACCAAAAATAAAATATATTTGGCCGTACTCGCAGCAAATGGCAAGCGTTAGACATGTTGTGAGATATATTGGTACAACTCGGTGAAGAAAGTGTAGCGTGGTTATACACCTGAGGAATGTGCTCAAAATACTGTATTAAAGAGAAAAAAAGTCTACTAAAATGATCATCAAACATGCAGGCATTGCACAACTTTATGCAAAAAAAAAAAACTCTACTCTTAAACAAGTGAAAAGTTATTTATTGGATTATATTGATATCTCGTAATCTATTGTCCTCTTACCTATTACCTACTTTAATGTCTATCTCTATAAACGCCAAGCATGGTTCTTTATACTCTTCTATTTGATGTTAATAACTATTCTCTATTATAACTTTTACTACGACGGTGAGAATGTA